GTCCCTTCTTCATTGGCCTGCTTTCTACATTAAAAACTGTAGATTAAATTACTGACAAAAATATTCATAAATTGTGACACAAGAGTCCTATGGTATACCAATTAAAGTAAGTACTACCAAAAAAAGCTGGATATTTGAAAGTATCTTTTGTTAACTATATCTCCATATATATTAAGACCAGACTTGGTACCTGGGATGCTTCTTCATCAGAAAAGGCTAGGTGAAGAGTATACAGGAGTTGTCAGCACTATTTTTTCTCTTTTTAATTTCTAAATTATTTAAAGAAATAGAGGGGGAAATAAACAGTAAAGAAACAAGAAGGCAAACATTCTAAAGGGTCATTAAAAGCTTGTTCTCTTAGTTTTTGTTCCTCTCTAACAGATGTCCTTAAGCAGAAGCTAGAATATAATCAGAAAATACTTAAGTACTAGATACAAATTATTAGGTACTAAATTTGGATTTGACTACAAAAATGGTTTGGGTATACATCCTCCAGGTACTTAAGAGAGCACTTATCATTAACACTCTCCAACAAGTACTGCCTCCCCCATAGTGATTCCTTAAAATTACATAATTCAGACCAACTCTACACAACCATAGGGATGAATACAACATTGTGTGAAAACCAGACAAAATACATAGTGCAAAATTCTACTTACATAACACAGAACTTAGGACAGGGAGATAAATGACTACAAGGGGGCATGAGTGGCCATAAAGGAAGTTTATAACACCCTGTGTCATCATTTTGGTGCTGGTTACACATGTATTTTCAGTTTGTACACTAATGAACAGTACACTTTTCTGGTACAAGTTTTACTATTCAACACTCAACCCTAGATTTGCTCAGTTGTGAAATATGTCATAGTTTGGATTACCATTTGGTTAACTCAAGCTTCTTAAAAGTTGAACAAGACAAAACAACTTACATAGTGTCCATGGTACTGATATAAGCAGCTTAGTTCTAATTTATTTATAGTTTCAGAAATGAAATCTCATAGTATAAATGAGAGAAAATAAGTTTTTCTCACACAAAATATTTGAGGTCATTTAAGAACAATTTTTTTTTTTTTTTTTTTTGTATTTTAGAGCAGGTTCTACAGGGTGCTCAGGGTCTCACTACTAGATCGGACTTATAGTGATTCTCCTGTTTACAGTCTCCCAAGTGTGGGATTACAGTCGTGTGCCACCATGCCCAGTCTCAACTGCCATCTTGGTGTGCCCCAGGGGTGGGGCTGGCATGGCAGGCCTGCAGATCAAACCCCAGGCCCCTGCGCCTGCTTGCAGACACTTTAATCCACTGAGCTATTTGGCCAGCCCTAACAACAATTTCTAAAGTGAGTAATCACTATAAAAATTTTAAAAGAAATCACCAAATATTTAATAAAAGACAACATAAACTTACACATTCATTTTAAAAAGCCATGCCTACCACTTTCCTAATTAAATACTCTGTAAATACTGCTGGTCCCATAAGAAGGACAAATATACTTGGGGGATAATGCACCTAGCAACTGTCAGTCTCATTTAAAACTACACCTATGCAATTTCTTCATGAAGGAAAAAATGATGGAATAATTATCAACAAGATTAAACTACTACAAGCCACCTGATTGCTTCCATTAGTCTAAAGTTTCTTCTCCCTAGTCTCCTTATCTAAGAGAGGGCAAAACTTTTCTATAGATGGTTATTCTGAGCTTTTACAAACAAACAAGCTCCCAATGAAGCATCTGATCTCCAGTAACTTATGAGGGTAATTACTGTAGATTTAACAAAACTAAGAACTTTTTGAAGTTAAATAATGGTCATATTACAAAGTACTCTGAAATGTTAATGTTAGGACATCACTAAAAATTAACCTCATAATAAGATAATCCCCTAGAAAGCTAACTTTGATAAACAGGGTTTCCAAAGAAAAGACTGGATTATTTCTGACCTACAAGTTTAACTATATATATTGTTAATATAGTTAGAAGTGGTATTGCTAG